ACACTGCATTTCTAAGTCAGAGTAAGTACATGATGTCAGATCTACACAATGGGAGTTTATATTTTAACATCATTTAGGGCCTGTTTCTAAAAGGGATTACTTTGAGTTTTAACTTCTTCTATGGTATATTTACTGGTTTTTAAAGATGATTGTTTTAAGTTTTTACATTGTTTGAATGACATCTTTATCTGGTAATTTTAAGGGAATTATTTGGATTTTAACATCTTTTATATGGTATTTTTATGGGTTTCTAAAAATGACTATTTTAAATTCTTACTGTTTTATGTAGTATATTTGTTAGTTTCTAAAGGGAACTTAAAGTTTTTCTAGCCATTTGCCTTCAAGGTGCAAAGGGAGCTGACACTTTGTGATGACTAGACCTGTGAAGCACATGGAAATTTGCTGTGTTCCATGGCCAAAACCTTACAACAGACAAGCTACTACCAGCACATAGTTACGATGAGAGGTAAAAAGTGATAGTCTACTTGAGTGAGAGGCTTGAGACGCCATCTCTACTGGTCTTAACTCCTCCCCTTTCTACATTGTGATTCTAAGCCTGTTTTTCTCTGAAATAGAGTTATTTCCCTCTCTGATACTCAGATGCGCTATGTTTGTTTATGTTCCTGCCCCATCATTCCCTAAGTGCTTTCTAGTTATAATGTCAGGGTAATATTAATTATATTGGTAAATTGTCACGTGCTGTTTGAGCTCACCGAGACACTGACTCTGAAGATGGGATTGGCCTTCCTACTTCAGACTTAAGCCTATTATCTCAAAATGTGTTCTCCAAGACTTTTCCAGGTTCAAGCTGGCCCCTTGACCCTGTGACAAGGAGGAGAACAACAAAACAGCCTAAGAGTAAACGCACTATGCAGTTGAGAACTGCTAAGGTGTAAATTAATTTCAACAGAGGGTATTACTGACTATAATAAAACTAGCTAATGGAATTATTTTCAGTACTATTTACATTTTATTTATTCTTAACCTAATCTGTTAATGTTTCCTTTTGTCCTTCCTATCTCCTCTGATTTATGTTCTTAGATTGACAAGGTTTTATTAACTTCCTTCAGTTATTTAGCTCTTAAAAAGGAAAAAGATGCTACCTCAAATCTATATGGAAACTTATCTCTTTCTTTAGACCACAAAAAAGAAAAAGACGCTGCCTCAAATCTATATGGAAACGTAACTCTTTCTTTAGACCACTAATTACCTATACAAAATAACATCTAAACTGGTTATATAAAATCCTATTTGTTAAATACATTTTTTTGGTTTTAGTTTACTTTCAAGATGTTTTAAGGTGTATTCATTTGATTTGTCTACTTCAAAGATGTTTTAGTTTAAAAATAATAAACCAGCGGGCGTGGTGGCGCACACCTTTAATCCCAGCAGAGATTTAATCCCAGAGAGAGGCAGAGGCAAGCGAATCACTGTGAGTTCCAAATCAGCCTGGTGTACTGAGTAAGTTTTAGGCCAGCCAAGGGCTACAAAACCAAAACAGAAGGTGGAGAGCTATCAAAGATACTCACTT